AACAAAGTTGAACCGGATAGTATTCCTTCGCACAGGCATCATGGTGTCCTACAAAATAGAGCAAAGGTGAAACCCTCTTGTCTTTGAAATGGTCAGTCCTTATGCAGGATGCATGCAATGCTCATGATGTTATGATGTTATGATAAAGCACACCACAAATAGATACAAAGGCAAACATGTAAGGCACACAAGTCACACAAGACAAGCCCTTAAAGGTTAGGCTAGCATGAGGTCTAGGTACTACCCTCTTTCAGTTTGTTGGTTCATACCTGTCCTATCAAAAGTAACCGGGTTCTTAGAGGATCCCAATATCATTGACTACCCTCAATCGGTCATAACTCCAGCATCGCAATCTTTTCTTGCGGCCAGAACCATCGCGAGAGTTTAGCCTCAATAGGCGTAGCATACTGCTATTGTTCTAATGGCCAAGTTGTGTCATTTAAGGTTCTAAGGTCTGTTGGTGCTTAATGACTCCTCAGAAGACCCATATTCTCCTCGTTGCGACACAAGGGATATCGGTACAGACCAAGGTGCCACACCAATGTAGCCACTGCTTCACCCGTGTCGGTCTACGCCGGACAGGTCCCTCACAGCTTATGCTATCTAAACAGGGTATCCCCAGATCCGGGTTAGGATCTATGTAACTCCCATGCAACCCATAAATTTAAAGCAGACAAGTCAATACAATTGAAAACACAGTTATGAACTAACCCTAAGGTACACCTCACTTTAAGTTTAAGTCCCCAGCAGAGTCGCCAGTTCTGTGATCGGTGGATCTGGAACTGACTGTTTAACGCTGGTTCGCGAAATGTCGCGGAAGCAAGAGTCGCCACCGTCTTTTATTTTCTCCAACATGGAAAGGACAAAAGCACAGAAAAATTCCTTAAAGAGATTGCTCTCGGTTCGGGAGGTAGATTATAGAAAGGGAAGGTGTTAGAACCCTTTCTATCCATGGTTATCCATGGGCTCTTAGATACTTGCTCATTTGTGTTTTCAAAATGGTTTGTTTGCTTTTCAACTGTGGGTTTTAAAAAAAGGTTTCTTTGAAAATTTCAGTTCGACTCTTGTATCGGTCCTCAAGAGTGTTTGAAAATTTGCTTTCGAAAGCTTTTTGAAAAGGTGTCGGTGTGAAAAGTATTTTGATTTGTTTTTGTAATTAGAGCAAGTATCTAGAGTCGTCTACCTACCCTAAGGAATTCGTCTGTGTAAATGTCCTTTAAGATAGTGCCATCCCACCATTGAGAGGTAGGTAGCACCACCGTTGGAGGTGTTCGGGTCAATTCGAGGTTCGAGACATGGTGATCACCAGAGCAATAGGAAGATACCTTAGAAGCTACCCTCATGCCAGGTTCCCGGATCATGAGGACTTACTAAAACATCTTCTACTCGACGATCACCTTTCGAGGCAAGGCAACAGTGAGGCGTACCCTAGGGGTGGTGTGTGATTCGTGTGTCGTTTTCATTTACATTTATCTTGTTCATGTCATGGGTGATCTACGCTTTTGTTTTTATTTTGTCATTCATTCTTGCATGCAATTATTAACAGTTAAAAAAAGTTGCTAGAAATATAAAGTTCCTAAACTATTACAAAGGCGCGGGTCCACATCGCCAAATTAAATCCAGGACCCGATTTGACATAAAATAAAGGAAAGTGCGAGAAATATAAATTTACACGGCTTTGGGAGAATTACATAAAGAATATAAGAAAGGAAATAAATGCGCGAATTGGAATTAAAATTGAAAGCGAGGTCGTTGGACCCTTTTTAATGAAATTAAATTACAATTTAACAAATTAATTAAATTAAAATGAAAAGGAAATTATTTTTTAGAGTTTTTGGTATTTATGATTTTTTTTATGAGAGAATTAGATGAAATTTTAAAAAAAGTTAACCCTAATTCTAGTTTTTTTTAATTTATTAAGAAAAGCATTTAAAATTTTAACCTAAAATTAAACCTAATTAATTAATGAAATTTTATTTACAAGAAAATATAATTAATTATTAATATAGTGAAAAAGAAAAGGTAAAATAATCAAAACCCTAATTCTACAACTTTTTAAGTTTATTGAGAAAAATGTTTGAAATTAAGCCTAGAACTAAATTAAATGATATAATTTATTTACAAAGAAATATTAAATCAAATATATTTATTTTTGTCTTTTTCCGTTTTTATATTATTTTTATGTTTTTATGAAAATAAATTAGTTTAAAGAATTAAAAAAAAAAGAATAATTGCAGCAAATAAAATAAGAAAGAAAAGAATTGCCAAACCTTGGGGGGTTCTGTCCCCAATTGGAGGTATACTTTAGTATTGTTGGCCCAATGTTTAAGGCCTTATTTGACTTTTCATGCCAGCGTGTGTTTGCATTGACTAACGCCTATGGTGGCCTTCACATCTGGACCCTTGAATTGGGATCATGGGGCGCGTGGCATGCTGGGACTATGGGTTGTATGATGGTCTTCAGGGAAGAAACTGCACAGGATGACATTATGAAAAATATTATTGAAAGGGAGGGGGACCTGGGATTCGAACCCAGGTCCCAGAGATTACCAACCCCACGCCTTGCCACTTGAACTGTGAACGCTCTTTGTATATTTAATGGACCATAACCATTATAAGGAAAGACAGACATTAGTGGTCTGAGTCAGCAAAACGCGTGCCACTTTTTGAATAGGCCAATCATCTCATGCCACCTGATCTTCTTCTTCGTCCATGCGTTTGCCTGGAAAAAAAACATAAACGAGATTGCGGGGGTTTTAAACCCCCACTATATGCTGTATGAAAAAATAGCGATTAGCTCGTCCTTGATCAGAAATTGGGTGCGACCTAAGCATTAAGTTCGTTGGAAGCTCTTGGTTCTAATAGTACCAGTCTCGTGTCTCAATTTTTCCATAACAGAGAAGCCCCAAATTTGAACCCCTGCAACCCTAAAATATTCCAATGGTAGTTTCGCGTATGGTGCACAAAAATTCAATCAAACTACATGGTTAGCTTCAGAAAGGTCTCATTAGTATAAATCAATCAAAGAAGTGCAAGAATGATGCGTATAAATTGATGCACGAATACAAAAAATATGATGAACAGGGTTGTTTCGTGTTACCAATTCTTGAGGTTACAAGCTATGATTTTGATCCAGGAACTTCCCTTGATGTCTCAGGAAGGTGATAGAATGGTTATTTCGCCTTGAAACCTCTTGGAATCCTGTTTTCAGTTTTTTTTAAATTTTAGGCAAAAACTCAAACTTTTCTCTTGGTTTCTGGCGCAGCTTTCATGTCTCTCGCTTTAGGGTTTTCATGAGTATATGTATTGGAATGATTAGGGTTGAAAATTGGATCAAAAAACCTTTTGCATTGATGTAGAGAATATTGGATTTTCATGCATATATTTTTCAATCTTTTCATGCATATTTGATACCAATCATGTCCAATTACATTGATTCTTTCTATATCTGATCATGCACGAAATCCTTGAGTTATTCCATGCATAAAAAGATTTGAAAACTTTGGTTTAGCATTTTCCACATATTTTAATTAATTAAATGAATTTCTAGCAATTAAAAATTCAAATAAATAAAATAAAAATGATGAATAACTTCCCTTTGGGCCAAATGGTCGTGCACATGCTTTGGATGATGAATCTTGGAAGAAAATGTGGCCCATTAGTATTTTTAAGACATTTGAAGCAAAGTTGACTTTTCAAAATATCCAAATATTTCCCAACTTCCACAAGGCATATCTTGCTCAATTTTTAATCTTTGATCATGTTCTTGGACATTTTGGAAAGGTCTTGAAGTCCTCTAACCAATGTCTTTGGTCCCATGTCATTTTGATTTACCAATCTCAAGTTATGGCCTTTGACTTAAAGTCCTTTTTTGTTGACTTTTGAAAATGACCTATAATGTTGAAATTGATAACTTTTTTTGAGAGCATTTATTGGACTTGAAGTGTGAAGAGGAGTTGTAGGAAATGTCTTCCTATTCAAAATGAGCTTTGGATGGAATTTTTCTGATAATCCATGTGGAAGTTATGCCTTGGTCAAGTTACAGTTGACTTTTTCAACTGTCCAAATATGGAAACTTTTGCATCTTGAGACTTTTTTGAGCCAAGCTTTGAGAATCATGATCAAGCATTGATCAAATGATGTTTGTGGCTTCAAAATGAGATGTTGACCAAAAATTTGAACTTTTGACTGTCAAATGACCATTTTGCCCCTATAGTTGACTGTAGTGCAATTAGGGTTTTTGACTGTGCAATTTTGTGCTGTAAGTCTTGAAACTTAGAATATGGATGCTTGACCATGTTTATAGGCATGTGGGACTTAATTGGACCGTTGGAAACTTCATTTTCTTTGTCAGAACCAAAACCCTAGTTTTTGACTGTTAGGAGGCCCTTGAACTGTGCAACCCTTGGGGAATTTTGTGCTTTGACTTGGCAAATTTTGAAGAATATGGGAGGGCAAATTTTGGGGTACAACAAGTGGGTTCTCAAAGGAAGAACTAGAATCAAGGTATAAATATCTAATATATTTATTCCTATTTGTGATTCCTTATCATACCTGACCTCACTTTCCATATGCTTATGGAGTCAGTGGAATCTATCTTTTGCTTTTAGGTATATGTTGCTTGGTCTATCTATTTGTTGTTTATTATGTTATATTTGAACATTTTTATGTACTTTGTAGATACAGACAAAAACTGGAAAATTGTCTATGCACAGTCCTTAAGTATTGCTGTAATATGAGTACACAACAATTTCTAGAGAAATCTATTACAATGGTCACAAGCTAGATGAATTTGTTCCTTAAAAAACACCAGCTTACATAAGCCAGTATGACCTACACATTCTTGATATGACAGTGATGGAAACAATTGACTTCTCGGCACGTTGTCAGTGGGTTGGAAGGTTACCTTTCTTGCTTATTCAATCCTAGATTATCCATATAATTTGTAACTAATACAATACCAGTAGGCATTCATATATATCCTTTGAATTGCAGATATAATGACTGAAATCCCTAGGAAAGAAAAAGAACAAGGAATCTTTCCTGACCTGGATATTGATACTTATATGAAGTTAATTGTAGTATGGACAATTTATATGTCGTAATTAGAAATAAAAAAGTTGACAAAGAAAGTAACACATACTTTTGCAGACTATTTTTGTTGAAGGACAAAGCAAAAATCTTAAAACAAAATTTGTTGTAAAGGTACATCTTCTTAAAGCGGGATTGAGTTACAACACAAAGTTATTGAATCGCTCGCTTTAGATGTTTTCTATTCTTTTTAACATATGGATTCAAACATTTCATATTGTAGATACTTGGATTGGATATTTATGATGACACTCTGGTTGGAGATGGACTAGATAGATGCATTTCAGGTGGACAGAGAAAAAGGCTAACTACAAGTATCTTGAAAATCAGGTAATGTTTTCTTGTCATTTTGTTACTATTGAGAGTCCCCTATTGGATGAGATATAGCTTGAAAATGGGTTTACAAGTGAGATACATCTATTACCTTACAAGTTGTATTTATAGAGCTGAGTTAGCTCAACAAAATTAAGAAGACCTCATGTTATCAGCCTCTTAGATCACACTCCAAATATTCAATTTTAGGTGTATGTTATGAGTCCCACAATACATGAGATGTGACCTGATAATGTGTAAGCAAACATCACCTTAAAACTTAGTTTTGTAGTATTGAGTTTGGTCCAAACCAAATTCTAAGAGTTGCAAAGAGGAAAATTCAATACTCCATAATCTCCTTAGAACTTATAAGTACATGAGAAGTGTTGCCTCTGTACTAGAGCAGTGAAAATTAAGGTCAGTGATACTTGTGGTTGTACTGCAAACATACTAAATATTCTTCATAGATATTTTCTTCTTAATATATATTCTCAATTTTTTCTAAATCATATTGCAGGAGAGATGATTGTAGGGAAACCTTCATTCGCCGATTCTCGAGATTGCGTTTGAGATCTGCGATTTATGTGTGAGCATTATTTTGATTTTTAAAGTTGTGCTGGATTTTTTGTTTTGTTTCAGTCGTGTTTTAATTGTAATGCGAAGAATCTGACCTGGGCGTCGTTACCGTATGGTATCTTCCTCTGCATTGAATGTGTGTGTTGCACGTGTAACATGGTTTGATGTTTTTCTTTTTGTTTCTTATTTGGTTGATTTGATGATATCATATGATATTATTGACAGCATGATGAAGTTGACGGTAAGAGATTATAAAGAAATGTCATGTGAAATATAAGCATCATCCACTATAATTTTTAACTGCATATAAACCAACAATTGATGAACTATATCAATTTTTGGATTTCCATCTTTCAAGGAATGGGCCCCTGTATTTGCTGAGCTTGTCCTTGGTCCTGATAGGAAGTCGCATAGTTCTTCACCTTTATAGTTCAGTTTCATGGGTCCTAAGCTCTATGTTAACACAACATCGGTAATGCTTCTTGCTTTATGCGTAATGTTTTTTCAATAATTGTCAACAACTGTTTAGTGTTTATGAGATTTTTTTTGGTATTGATGAAGACACTTAGGAGTCTTAGTTTCTTTATGTAATCATTCAAAACAACACATTGTTACATCTTATGTGCATGACAAATGTGATGATAAATTTAGACTAATCTCGAATTTTATGCAGGTTGTTGTATGAATGAAGCATGAGACATGCCTTCAATTGCAATTAGAAGGGTAAAAGTTATTGTGATTTTGATCAGTACAAGGATTGCGATATTGATTACGATTGTCTAGCCGCTGCGTGAGTTAATTACTAAAGTTCAGTTCTGCAGAAGGTCAAGTAGTTGGTGCAAAGATAATTTTTGCTATCTCCCAAGGTGATGGATACCAAAGATCATGTTGGATCAAAAATATTTTCAATTGAAGGAGTTATTCCAGTGCTCTGGGAACAACTGCAAAAGGGCCTAAAGGGTGGAAGTGTAGTAGATAGTTTGTTGATTGGAGCAATGAAAAATATTTACAGTGGTACTGAGAGATTCTAGAATGCGAAAGTATAATCTAGAGGAGTGGATATATTACTGAAGTTACTGACAACATGACATTCTAGCACTTTAGCTAATGTGTGCTTTTTACTTGCTTGTATGATGATGGAAGATGCATCTTTTTTCTCAAAGCTATTAACAACAGATGCAACAAGACAACTCCTCCAACTTTTAGGCCCTGGTAATGACGCCCCAGTTAGAGCTGAAGCACTTGGTGCTATTAAATCTCTATCTGCCCAGTGCCAAGATGCAAGGAAAGAGATAGCCAATTGTATTTAAAATAGCTGGAGTGAACGTGGAATCTTTGGATGAGCTTGCGAAGGGTAAAGTTGATAGCATTAAAATAAGTAACCATGTAATTTTAGCAAAGAATTTGCGCTATGGCGCTAACGAAAATGAACTTGCAAAGATGTTTGGGAATTTTGGTAGTTTGGATAAAATAATTCTCTCCTCCACAAAAACATTGGCCCTGATATTTTTCTTCTCCTGTTACATGCTCATTATTATTATTATTATTCATGCTTTGAATTATTTGGAGATGGTATCAGGTTGTTTTCCTTGAACCAGTAGAAGCTAAATCTACTTTTAGAGGTTTAGCTTACAAGTGTTACAAGTAAGATTTTTTGTTTCTTTTGTTTACAAGTTCCATATAGAACTGTTAACTAGTGTGTACATTTATTGTAGAGGCCTTATCCTCTAATAATCATGTAATTAACCTTGTGTGATAGTAACTAACTTTAAATTATGATTAATATAGCTACTACCTGAAAGAAGAAAAAGAGTGAAGAAGAAATGAACTAAGAAAGAAAAGAGAGAGAAAATGAAAGAGGTTTTGAGATTTTTCTATTCACTCCAATTAGTTATTACAATAATTTATTTTTTAGAATGATAGTAGGTAAAAGTATGTCATTGAGAGAATTGTAAACTTTAAAATTTTATCTTTTATTAATTACTAAAAATGATTTTTGACAATGTAATTTATAAAATGAAAAGGGTAGTCAAAGAAGTTCATATTCATGTTTGGTTCTTAATTAGATATAGATAGTTGATTATACAAATTGAAAGGGATTAAAAGACGGTGGAAAACTTAAGTTTGTTTATGGTTATGAGTAGACTTAACTACGTATTTGATTTTTTATTCTCTTATGAGAGTTATTATTTATAAATTAATGAAATTAATTAGCACCACTTTGATGACAAATCATATTTGTGACAATTATTTTTAAATTTCTCTTAAGTTTTTGAAGGTCTTTTGTATGTTAAGTTATAGTTTAAGTATGTCAAAACTATTACTATAGACCTTCTAGAACATCTACATTAGTAACTAAGTCGTGGTCTTTAGAAGATTCAGGCACTACTAAATCTATAATGGAAATTAGTAGAATACCCCTAGGACTGGAAGTTAGGAATTAAATAAGGCTTGAAACGTTGGTATACAACAATTTGAACGCCTTTTCATATATTATGTACACCAATATCATTATAAGGATAAAAACCAAACTTGAACGCCTCTCGCTGTCTGAAGTACTCAATGATGTAGGTGGAGTTCTTGTCTCCCAGAAATTTTCATAGTTGACATAGAAAAAGTAGGAATTGCAGTAGAATGCAAGGATATGTCATTTTTATTAGCCTATCATCTCTTCTAAAGTATAATTGTACAATTTAAGTCAAGCTTACCTTAGCATACAATTCAAGCACTGTGTTAGATACCACGGGTTTCCAACATTTGTAGATGTAACTCTATACACCCTTTAACTACAGAAAGAGTTGGATAATACTGCAATTTTGGGATAAGTAAAATTTAATTTCTAGAATATACTTAAGATAATTGCTAGATCACGTTAGACAATTTATAGTTTTGAATGACCATCCATTCCATGTAAAACAAATTCACTTTAGGATTTTAGTTCCTATAAAAATATTTTAACTTTTGAATATTTTTAAATTAGTTTATGATGGGCTATATGTATATGTATATATTGTGGCTCTTCCCCATAATTTGTAATTGTAAGGCTATTACAAAAACAATTTTCTATACAATATTTTTTTAGCATTTTCTCCACTTCCAATCTCAAATAAGTGAAAGATTGTATGCACCTTATACAAAAAAAAAAAAAAAAAAAACTCTTTTTTTTTAATAAACTATAAGACTCATATTAAATTGAAATGAAAAAATACTTTGAAATTATTTATTAAAAAAATAGCTACTATAATACTATTTTATAATGATGAGTGAAAAATATTTTGTAATGATATGGTATTGTATGGTATTGTAAGACTATTTATTTATGTTATTAATTTTTATTTATACAATTAAAATAATATTTATAAATGTTGAATATTAACGAGAACATAAACTTACTAATCAAAATATTGAATATTAACGGAAAATATTAATCTTTGTAATTTTAAAATATTTGAAGTTGAAATTAGATATGGATATGTCTCTATTGAACAATGACAACATATTTTTTAATTTCACTTTTTCTCTCTTGAAGTGAGTGAGTGATCATGCATTTGTGTTAATGTATGCGTTGTACATTTTGAATGTCTATATCACATATGAAAATGTCAACCATGCCCTTTATTAAGATCAGAGAATATAAATGAAAAGAAAATGAAAAGTTTGAGCAAGGAACAATTTTATACAGTGCTTCCAGGATCATATATTTTTGACATTCTCTTAGTTAAGACATAAATAGTTGAATCACATAAAATAGAAAAAGATTAAAAAAAACCATCATTCATATATCGGGAAGAGGAGAAGATTACATTAAGAAAACAAAAGCAATAATTAGTATTATTTATTTTAAATTTATAGTACAATATTTATATTATTTTATATTATTTATACTATATTTTTGTACTTATTTATTTTATTAGTAAAATATATTACACAAATTCATTAGATGATAATTATTGTTTAATACTATTTATTAATATATGAAATTTATTAGTTTTGTTTAATCTATGTAAATATCCTTAAAATAATCTATGAAATCGGAAAAAATATGTTGTTTTTTAATTATTTATGTTATTAATATTTTTATTTTTAATTTAAGAAAAAATATTTTTTAAATATATATAGAAAATTTATTTATATATTATTGATGTAATTATTTTACTAATATATGTTACTAATATAAATAAGATAAATATATGTTTTTTTTATGATTTAATAAAAAAAATTCTAAATAAAACATAGGATCTTATATATATATATATATATATATATATATATATATATATATATATATATATATATATATATATATATATATATATATATATATATATATATATATATATATATATATATATATATATATATATATATATATATATATATATATATATATATATATATATATATATATATATATATATATATATATATATATAATTGTAAATGAGTACAATTAATTTAAATATTTTGATAATTAATATTAAAAAATTATATTTATGATTCAAATATAAATATCAGTATGTCTATCTTTTGAAAATAATAGCTCTTTTGTTGACTATATAAGTCTTACATTATTCATATTCTTTTGTTATTATAAATATATATCATTTCTATCAATTATATATAATTTTTCTATTAAGAATAGAAATGATAATGAGTAAAGTACTTGCATTTTATTAAAATATAATAAATTTATATTTGTTGAACGAGGGTATATTTCAATTGTAGTTATTTTTTCTTCATACATAAACTCTTCTTAGCTCAATGTAAGTGTCTGGTACCTGTGCGAATGCACGGATATCATACTAGTTTTAAACAAAATTTTAGCCTAAATAATGATGTGTCATCTTCTCTTAGTCTCAATGATAATGTGTCATTTTCACAAAATTCTACCAATCAATCTTAAAATAATTAAAAATATCACTATTATTTTAATAATCACTAATGAAAATACTCTCCATTGATATTTCCAAAAAAAAATCACTATTATCTTATAATAATTATTAATGAAAAAACCCTCAATTGATAATAACATTACAAAAATCGCTTATTTTTAAAATTTTGAATTGAATACGCCTACAAATAATAGAAAAACTTCAAAAATATGTATTTAAATTATTCATATAATTTTAGAATATATTTTAAGAATAAATATTTATAATTTTAAGTTTAAGAATACTCCTACAAATAATAGGAAAATCTCAAAAAACAAATATATAAATTATATATAATTTTAGAACATATTTTAAAAATAAGTATTTAAAATTTTAATTTTAAGAATACTCCTACAAATAATAGAAAAACCTCAAAAAATAAGTATTTTAATTATATATATATATATATATATATATATATATATATATATATATATATATATATATATATATATATATATATATATATATATATATATATATATATATATATATATATATATATATATATATATATATATATATATATATATATATATATATATATATATATATATATATATATATATATATATATATATATATATATATATATATATATATATATATATATATATATATATATATATATATATATATATATATATATATATATATATATATATATATATATATATATATATATATAATTTAATAATATATTTTAAAAAAAGTATTTAACATTTTAGGTTTAAATCATAAGCATTTAAAATTCCAAATCAACATATATAATTTTAGATATATTTTTAATAGATTTTTTTTCTAATGAATTAAATATGCGTACAGTAATTTAAAAAAATTTCTCTACTATATTTCAGGTTTAAATAATAAGTATGTAAAATTTTAAAAATAATATAAATTATTTTAGAATATATGTCAAAAGAATAACACTGAATTAAATATTTCTACAAAGAATATTAAAAGAATTAAAACAATAAATTTAATTCAATTAATATTAACACCTTTTGATTATATTAAAATTGTTAAAGTTGAGAAGTTTTAGTATATAAATTTGTTTTAAAATCAATTTATTGAAACTATCATTAATTATCATAATTGTCAAACAAAAACTATCATTTTTTAACTTATATTTCTAAACTTCATTCTCAACCTTTCAATTCAATCGTAAATAAAAATAAAAAACGGCTCTGTGAATTAGTTATATATACATCCTATGAACAATTTTATAGAAGAATTATTTCTCACACTTTTGTGATTTTATTTTGGGCTTTGATTTCTTCCAATACAAGGTGGGTCTGTTATATGATATTTTAATATATTTTATAATATCAAATGTGTATATTTCAAAGGAATGGAGATGTAATAGTGGTTAAAGTCAT